GATTGTGTCCGAGATATATAATGCAGAGATTACAATTGCGTAAACTCAAGCATTACCGAAGTGGTGTCAATTTTAAGGGAGAACGTGACAAGCACTAAGGCTCCACTAGCTTACTAACAGTTAATAATATTATTACATACCTCCATCGTTTGGAGTGCCTCAAATTGGTTGAGTGTGCGATTGTGGATGGTGTAGGTCCCTATGCCTTTAAGGATCTACCAAGGATTTGAAGCATTGCTTTCCCATGTCACTTTATTTTGGATAGAAGTCGCGAATTTTTATGGCTTCTCCAACTCGGACCAAGTGTCAGAATTCACTAGAATCACATCTAACCCCTCTGTCATTCTGGGACAGGTGATCAGCTAGCCAAAGCTCGAGCCCATAAGTTGCCTTGAATTTAGTATCCAGATGCTGTGAAATAGTGGTGGGAGTGGCAGAGAGGCGCCACCTCTTCCACGTCTTGTCAACAGAGCATGGAAAGAGCTGTAAGATACTGCTAGACAATGTAGTTAAGTCTTTGCCTTCACTTACAATTTACTTACTAACTGCGTATAGGGTCAAATGGCAACAAATTCTACTAAAGTAGTGTGAACTCGCACTTGGTATGGGTGGCTTCAGGAATATATTCCACTAATGGGATCACCTCAGTGACAAAATGGGAAATCATTTATCTTCTTAGGAGTCATCATAAGCAAACAAGTTGTTGCTAAAATGATTACCATTGAATTTTCTCCCTACTCAACACAGTCTAGTGCAGTCAACTGATGCATAACACAGCCTCACACATAAATGGCACTAGGCGGAGGTAGTCAATTTCAATGTCACATATGTGTGATCTTGGTAGCCGGTAAAGCAATATTCCTTTTTAGCATCTAATCAACAAAACCGCAAATTTTCCCAGAGGCAATGCTTCTAACTGTCAAGCAAAGACCAAGTTTGTCTAATATATCTTATTTGCAGTGCTCTAGACACACTTCTGTTTCAACCATTTCTAGTGCAAACGATTTAAGATGTAGGGAGTAATTAGGAAGGAGTTGCTTAGAGTACTAGAAGTCCTATGAGGGGAATGCTGTCAAATCTAGCAAGATCAAGTAGCATTTTGAAGTCTCGGCAGTTTATTTTGCGATTTTTCATGCCGCTGGAAAGTAAGGAGTTTTGCGACCACACGAATGAGTAAAAACAACTGAATTTTTGGAGATGATAGAATTAACCAGGGAGGAGGAGCTTATTAAATTCAGTGTGGCAATGGCTTCAAAACTAGTTTTTTTATGAGCAACGAATTTCTGTGCTCATTAAACTTGGTGGGCCGATGTCGAAACCCCTCCTACATCTCCATTGTCTGCTCTAGACATCTCAAAACCCAATCCGCCATTTTACATCTGCTAACACTGCACCAGTGCCACTAGTTTAAAGTTCGCGACTTGCATTGTTCGACTACTAGTGAGGAAATTCTTCACTACTAGCATTTTGGTGCCTGTCTCGAGAAACAGCGTTTAGCCGGGTGAGTTCAAACTAGTGTAATGAGGAGGTAAGGCATCGGTAAGAGTTTACACTTCAATAGCTACAGCGCATGCGCGACCAGATTCCAGTTGTCGTGCGTGTGCTTGGAAAGCACATGCGGAAAATATCTTTTTTATTGAAGAAAACATTTGTAAGTAACTCCTGCTGTTACTTGAAATCACCGTAATGGCGCCAACTAGAACAGTAATAATGACCGTATTTGTTTCATTCAAATATTTTAACAAGATATAGCCTTCATAAGAGGAGGGTATGTGAAATGAGATGCTGTGTTCTTTATCCAGTACAAATTCCGATGGTCATCGCCTCAGGTCCACGTCTACCTTCCATGCTGGTCAGATATCCCCCTGTCTTCTTTCCAGGTTCATAGGTCTGTTATTGGGGTGCTTTGCCTCGTGCGAGGTGATGGTAATGTCTTTGATGACTAGCTGGAAACAGCCAATTTCATTGCAAATTATAGCAGAGTGTGACTTGATTCACGCCAAATGGGACACGCGTGTGAATTTGTGCTGCGCTTGGCCTCTTTCCGCTCACTCGCAGCCCTACAGAGTCCACAGAGAGCAAATGTGCGGTCTCACGAAAAGAGAAGCTGCAGGACAGTTGACAGTACACAACGAATTCTACTTCATGACTCGGTGGTCAAACATACACCTCCTGCTCAGATTATGAGCAAAGTTGTGCCCGGTTGGATGTACACCCTGTTCTCGCCCTCTCCAGAACAGGAATTTGAAATGCCCCCTTTCAGAACTGCTACAACCACGTCACCCTTCCTACCGGACGGCACTGTCTGCTGCAGGGCACTTGGCAACCACTGCACTGTAATCTGTCCAAGGCAGGCACTGAACTGAAGACGAAGACACGGCCAGTAGCCATCTCATTACTGACATAGGGGACAGCAGTGACTCCATAAGACACCTTGAAACTTATCAACAAACTGCGCAGTATCCTCCGAGTCGACGAATGGTAGTATTTACATCCGACGCACTTGTGTCAACGCGATTCGCCTTACCGACTTCTCCTAACACGGCAATCGCATATGATGGCATTGGTGACAATGGCAATGACCAATTGACTGATGACAAACTCAGTACTGCCGATTGAGTCTACCAAAGAGTGAATTCACATCAGGTGGATAATTGCGTACAGGCAGATCGACTGGCATCTAATCAGCCAATTCCCTTTCGGCCAGTCTACGATGAAGGGGTAGAGTGCACTTCAGGAGAAAGTAGAGGTTCTGTGTATGGTCGTGCAGGATGTATCGCCAATGCCGATCAGTTACCTGTTCTGCTTCTGGCATTCTTCATTCGAGTGAGATACAAGAAGATGTAGGCCATATTTAAGTGTCATGGTCCCACTAGTGCCATTCAGATGGACAAAGTTGCCTGTTGATAAAGTTGCTTTCA